TTATTCATCTTTTTTGATACCTACTTCTAAAATGCGTACAATTTAATAGGAGATACAACACCAATTTCAAACTGGAATTTATCTAATGAATTTGTTTATCGGTGTGCTAAATAATTTGCTATGCGAGATTAGAAAAGAGTCATATTTAATTCTAAGAGCTGAGGTATGACGTTTATAAACCATATTTATATTTATAAAGATAATTTTAAAATTTTTATTTACTCTATAGATATTAGAAGAAATAGAATTATTATATATGTTACCTCATGATCGAAGAAAAGAAAATTATTTTCCGTTTGTTATGTAAGTTAATTACATGCAAAAAACAGAATTTTATTCCTACTATATTGCTTATCTATTTTTAAATTAAAAGGTTTTATGAATGCCACACAGTTAAACTTCGTGAGCATATACTTGATATCCAAAATAATAAATGGACAGGTTATAAAAAGCCTTATATTTCAAAAACTCTTAAGCAAATTCTTTACCTTCCTAAAGAAGAACCCTCTCTTATAGAAATTGAGAATACTGTCGAAAAGCTAAAAGAATCAATTAATTCAGAAAGAACACGAATTGAGGAGGCCATTAAGGAGCTAAAAGAGTCAGAAACAAACAACTATATACGAATTGAGAATGCCATTAAAGAGTTGAAAGAATCGCATTAAAAAATTCTGGGCTAGTTGTGGCAGGCAAAATTTTTAAAGTTCATTAATGTTAGGGTTAGCGTTCAAAATAAAGTTAAAGGTTGAGTTGTTATATAGTAAAATCACTCAAGAAAATTTTTATTAGAGCAGATTTTTGAGAGTGAAATGATTCTTGACAAAACGAACGAACGTTTGTTTTGAAATTTCTTGTTCACGCTACGTTACATCACTGACCTAGCCCTGACTTTTTGCGAAATAATATTTCTAACTTAAAGTAGAATAGAAATAAATTGAAATTTAGCTATTATAATTTATATTTTTAATACATAAAATAGGTTATTTTTGAACATTAGCTGAAATAAATAAAAAAAGTTTAAAATTAAATACGTATACTTGTTAGTGTTATCTTCAAATAACCGTTGATTATACGTACGTGAGTTTAAAAGTTATGGTGATTAAAATGTAACGTGTGTCAAATTTAATTAACGAAAGTTTATTAAATATTTTGAGTATAAAATTTTTTAAAAAAAATTCATTATTGTCTCATTACGGCTAATTTTGATTGTGATCTAAATAGTAGAACCGATTACTTATAATTTTGGCCAAGTTCAGAGTTTTTTGATCCCTAATTTGGCCAAATGATCTGCAAATTTGACCAGAATTATAAGTAATCG